AACTAGCGAAGAACTCAATTTGAATATGGAAAGAAGATAAGTGAGGCCCCCTTCTACCCAGCACTGATGATTGTTCCAATCGCTGATTTTGAGTGTGTGTCAGTCTATAAACATCGTTGCGTATGGCGGCGCATTAATGCTTATCACTTTGCCTTCGGCAGGGAACTGATGGCGGAAATGGTGACTTATTGCAACTTTTCCACTGATAATGTTTCATTTGCTTATGCATTTTGTTTAATAATTAATTACCACCCAGATATGCATATCTATGCTTTGTGGTGAGCGCACTTTTATGCTGGGTCTTTTTTTTTTTTTGGTGGGCCACAAAGCGTGTGAATAACGAAAGACTCAAGCAACGAACTCGATTTGGGAGTCCTTAGGGGAGAGCATAGATGGCGTCTAAATTAAGCCTGCTTTTTGATCTTTACCGATACCATGAAGATCGGGAAGATGTCCCCCATTCTGCCTTCCTTGCCAGGTCCATTATTATTTTCTACACTGGAAAAATATGTGTTTAATATAGAAGAACTTTTCAGATGATTTTATGAGAAAGTTTTAAGATGAATATTAATCCAGAGAGTACTTAGCGCAAACATATGTTGAACTTTTGCTACATTGATACCAACAATCATCAACATGATTATCATATACATTTTTTTCCCCTGTGTAGTGGCAGTGACAAGTTTTCGGCACGCGGACTGACCGATTCCCGAGCAATGTGCCTCGAATGTGTCTCTCGATTGGGCCCCCATTTCGTCGTCCGCCGTCCGTCGGCCCCTGACCAAAGCTTTTAAGTGTCTTGGCGTCGGCGCGGCTTATGTCTTCTCTTCTACCTCCCTCCCTCCTAGTTGACATTTACATTTGTGAGATCAGAGAGAAAAACAGAGAAAGAACGAGTGAGAAAGAACTAGAGAGAGAGAGAGAGAGAGAGAGGTCGAGAACCAAGGGGAATTAATTGCTATGGAAAAATCAAGATTTAATCGGTGCTCTTGACTGTGAAAAGATGTCGCCTAATTTTCCCTAGTCTTTAATTAATTAATTATGGCCACCTAATCATGAAAATGGAAGGAAAATATGCATTGGGGAGTTTTCGAAAGTTGTTTTTTTTTTATTACCCTTTGGCGCCGGCCCCGCGGCACAAATGAACTTTAAGCCTGAGAAATATCGAGATAAGGTTCTCAACTGCAAGCGGTATCGAAATCACAATTTCTCCAACAGTATTTATTGTTGGAGCTTATATTAACCACAGCTTCCCCTAAGACCCAGCGATAAGGTCGAAGATTATGCCTCCCTCGCGAAGGTTCCGCAAGACCTCGGATACGATAAATCCGCCTTGATATCGGTATCGCCATGAATAAGGCTAGCTTATCATGCTGACTCTTTGTATTCAGGCTAAAAATTATACCGTATATGATTTATATGGCGTTGTGATAGGAATTTAATCATGCGCCACTGGTAAACAATATTTGTGGATAAGAATTGGATTGGAGGGCAGTGAACGAGTGTTTTGATTTAAATCTTTGACCTGAAACCAAGAGTTACTGTTTACTCAAATTTAAACAATAACAACCTACTCACTAGCTTTGCCTATTTTTCATTAGATAAGAAACATTCGACGCCTAAAACATAAATAAATATGCATTTTTTATATTTATTTGTTTGAGATTATTAAATATTTTAGCATTTATTCTCTAGTTTGGGAAATTTCTAAAAATTAGCACTTAACCTTTTCTATTTTCCAAAAAATATTCAATAACCCACACACAGCAAGCCACTCAGACTGCTGACGCCAAGTTCCCGGCTACCGAGAAGTCTCAGGACCTCGCCAGGATCTCCTATCTTTCATCCCAAGTCCTTGGCTAACACGCAATTAGCCGCCGTCTCACTGGACACGGCATGACTTCCAGGACGTTGGGTCAATGGGTCTCCAGTTTAGGGCTGTACTTCCTATTGGGCCCCTGTTACTGGCCCGTTGACCTGCTTGAGGTGAACTGCAGCCAGGGGCATTTATCATGGCCTGCCAGTTGTTTCTGCCGGCGATACACTTTCCACTTGCGTGATGCATTCTCGAAAGCCAGCCAGCTCTACCTGAATGAATATGGTTATGGACATGGCTACGAGCCGGGTTCAGTGCAGTTTCGACGACTTGTGTTAGTGCTGTGTAGGCTGGTGGTCAGCTTGGCGAGCGAGTGTTGAAATTGCATAATTAGGTTGGGTTGTTGCAGTTTGCATTTTTAGACGAGTATTTCTGGGGGTTGTTTGAGCAGAGTTGCCAGGTTGTTTTGAAATTTGAATATTTTAAAATATTCAAACTTACTTTTTAAAGTACTATTATTGTAAAATGCATTTACTGGATAATGTTTGATATCTTAGTATAATTTTTATTAACTTTTAATGAAAGGTGCCTTATTTTGATGATTTTTAAATAGTTTTATTCAGTATCTCATAGAAGTTAATATCATATTTTCAATTTGGAATGTTATAAATTAGTATCTTACATCATGAACTATCAAAAAATGTATTTTTTTTCTTAACTCTACAACCCTAACTCTCTATGACCTTTGGTTTGGCCTCGCTAAACATTTTGGGTTAAGATTTATGATGCAATTTCCCGAAAATTCTCTCGGACCAAAACTGGAGACAAAGTTAGAGCCATTTAACTAGTTTTGTTTTGCCTTCTTTCCGATGTTTGAAGCCAATTTCAGTTTTATGGTTTTTGTTGGTCTCATAAAAGTGTCATAAATTAAAAGGCGCTTAAACACGCACACAGATCCATCCACTTGGATGGACATGGACATGGATATGGCGGAGGGATCTCATGTAACCTGTGCCACTGGTCACACGCAGCGCCTTTGACTCATGACCTCCTCCGAGGGCAGAATAGGGCATGGGTTTGGCTGGCCTTTTGGCCTGCTTTTATGGCCCCTCAGGACTTGCCTTTACTGTTTTCCACCTAATGATTTTATGGCACTTTTTGCAATATTTTCCGTGCACTCGAGAATCTGCCGTCATGTTGTGTCATTGTCAACACTGTCCGGGCACTATGGGATTCCATTCTCTGGTCACTCGGCTGTCTGGGTCATCCATTCTGTTGTCCAGTTAGTGGTGGCGCCAGCAGTTAATTGCTATATGGAATGGCACTTGTTAGTGTACCTGATGAGGGATGACAGATTGGTGGCCTCTGCTCGGAAGTGAAAGTGTAGCAAAGGGTTGTAAGATCTTTGAGATTGATGCTAATTGGTGTTTGGTCAAGGATGGATATTGAAATGATAGAAGGGTTGCTAATTCGACTGGGTGTTCAAGGTTATTGGATTGATTTTAAAAGATTTTTAGTTCAAGGTCTCTCTAAGCGTGTCTATTTTTATGAAGGTAAGAGGTAGAACTTATTATACATCCCAAATTGTATCTCTCAAGTCTCTACATGAAACAAATAGCATTTCTGTTCTATTTTTACACCTCTTAAGGAAGGAAATATAAATTTTGAATCCAAAAGTAGTGCAACTTATAGAGAAAACACTTTTCTTTATAAAGTTGCAGAATTCTCAGTTAAATAAAGATATAGGTATAGTAAAAAAAACGCTTTAATTTATTAATGGAAGAATACTTTTACCACAGCTTGTTGAAAGGCGATAAAAGCACTTTGGCTGCAATAAAATCCGAGATAAGGTCTCTTTGAGATGCCTAATTGTTGCCAAACAATTTCATTTCTTTTGGAACTGTAAGCTGCCTTTGGAACCCCTTTTCACCTCCCTTTTTGTCAGTTACTTACACCTTGTTCTAATTTATGTGCATTACCAAAGAGTTTTGGCCATGTTCGGAGCGGGAAAAACTAGACGAGACCCTAATGAATAGTGATACGAGCTAATGTTAATGTTAATTCGAATGTTAATGACTGCCGTCCGTTGTTCTTGCAAGTTTTGCTCTGGAGTCTTTTGTTTGGGGTTGGCCCGAGTCGGCAATTTATGTATCTGCAGTGCAATTGTGCGAATAATTATGCCAACTACTGGTTCTCTGTGCTGCTGAGTGTTGAAAAATGTATGAAACAAGTGAAGTTTTCATTCGTTTTTCAACGACTTTCAGGCTCCACATCAATTATATCCCGCTGAAATGGAAGGTTGAAAGATTTTTGACACTTGGTCTTTGAAACGGGGAGCTAATCGAAACAAAACTGCGCTCATGTCAACTGCCAATGGACGCCAAGTTCATATCAAAAACCCTCCCCTGGAACAGCCCCTTAATCTTCAAACTTTGACAGCTCAAAAGTTGAACGGAAATTTATCGCTTTTCTTGCTATATTTTATGGCAATTAATGCCTGAATATAAAACTCAAGCGCATAAATTACAATTCAATTAAATTATTGAAAAACACAACAAAGCCAAAGGCAACACGCTCAGCTGCTAATGGCACAATCGAAAATGATTTACTTGCCAACATTTTTGTTGGCCAAAAAAAATTTACGACCCTTTCACCCAATTGACTTCTGAATATTACCAACTACATCGTAGACAATATCCATTTGGGTTATCAAAGATTATCTTTTACTAGTTTAGTTAGATATATCGATTAAATAGATTGTTTACATGTTCAAGATTAGTCCAATGCTAATTTCATTGTTGATCCATAAAGATTGTGTCGTGGCCGAGCTTAGCTAATTGATACAACAGATCATATTGTTTATGTCTAATTTAAGCTGTAACTGTTCTCGCACAAAGTTGCAGTTCTCCAATCATTGGAATCGATCATTGAATGGCATTTAACAACGCTCTAATGAGTTGCCACTGGAGTTGGGAACCAGTTTATATTCATTTTAGATGTTTGATAAAATGATGAGGTTAAAATGAAGATATTAAGGTTGTACTTATGAGACGGAATCTAATGATGCGATTAAAGGAATTGCTATAAATTATTGATTAAATTATTCTTATTTCTTAATAAATTCCTTTTCCTTTGCTCATAATAACCATTTAACTTTAAGCCCTTAAAATTAATTAAAACTTACTTAGTTTCTGGGATAAACAGCAAATATCTGTCTTTTTACCCTCCTTTTGATTAAGCTGCGGATCTCCAATTGCTTTGTTTGATATATGCTAATCGAGATTTGTATGCCAATTGGCAGTTATGGCACTTAATGGCCTTTTTGTTGGTCGGTTAAACAGAAATGTAAACTGCTTTTAAATCGCATTTATTGTTTTCACAGCGAACGTTTTGTGAGTTTTTGTTTAGTGTGTGCTTGGTGGTTTGTTGATTTGATTTTGAATGGCGGTGTCCAAACAAAAGGCACCACAAATCACACGAAAAATCACAAAAAAACTAAAAGATCACGAAGATCTCGGTTCACTCACAGATACACATAAGCTATCCAGTTGGAGATGATGGCCAATGGATGCTAGAACCGGAACCCGTTTAATTAATCAAAAACGTTGACTATTAAAACTGTGAGTTTTCCAGTTTTCTGTTAATGAATAATTGCTGTTTTCGCTTATAGATCACTGTTGTTTATTTTGAATTTTTGATTTTTGGCGACGGCAATTCGCGTTTCGCTCGCTTCATTCGCTGCGTTTTCGCGTGTCGCGCATAAACGTTCGGAATCCAACTGAAGGCAAGGAATTTCAAATTCGACGGGGACTCCTTGTCGCACCGCCTGCGCTGCTGTATGCGAGTGTGTATGAGTACGTTCTGATTGGAATGGGGAAGCACAGGCGAACACACACACACACACACACAAACACAAGATGGAGTGAGCAAGCGAGCGAGCGCGTTTCTTTTGGGCTTCCGGTTGGATGTGCGCCAAGAGAGCAACTGACTGCATTTGAAAATGCGCTCTTTCTCTCTCTCGCGGGCAAACAAACGGGTTTCTTATACACACATACTAACACTCTTTATCGATATAAAAGTGGGTGTTGCCTTGGCGATAGCGCGCTCTCTCTCTTTATCACACACTTGGCAACCCATCCTGCTTACTCGCTCTCTTTCTTAATCGAAATGTGGCCATATTAAAGTTTGCTTGATTTGCTGTTTAGATATTGGTGTTTTTTTTACAACAAACGAGAGAGAGGGCGAGTGTGAGTGAGTGAGAGAGCTAGAGCGAGAGGGGGCTATACTCTGGGGACAGCCCACTTTGAGCTGGCTAATGCGGCGTATGCGCAATATCGCCACTTCGCCATTTAAAGACCATTATTTTCGCTAATAAAAGAAATAAATAACATAATATCAAAGCCATAAGCCAGGACTCCTCTTTTTCCGCTGCTAAAATCCATACTTTATGTGCTCTTTAATTGGCTGCTTCATAACTCTTCTGCCATCGCAATTAATGGCCATGTTATATACACTTACTTATGTACCCGAACTTGTGTACTAGTTAGTCGGCTGCAATTTATAGGTTTAACGCCCACTTGTGATTTATTTATCTGATAATGTCTTCATTAAGCTGATGCCATTTACATACATTCAATCGGTACGAACTTTAGAGGTGAGAATAAACAAATTCTTTTTGATTTACAAATTAGTTTTGCCATTCATTTGTCATAATGCCGATAAGGCAATCAGTTAATGCTGCCTTCGATGCATAAATTTTAATTATTAGCATTGCAAAAGGCTTTTCAATGAGAACAAATTATTCGGTTGCAGTTTTTGCGGCCATAAATTACATCGATTGAGTTTATAAATAACAAATGTAGAAACTTTTTAAGACATTGGTTTGCAATCGTATTTCTGGGATCAGTACATACGTTTTCTATCGAGTTCTCTTTTTTCTTATCTTCAACTTAGTAAACCTTTTCCTCTGAAAAATCTATATATAGACAAGTAAAGAACTCCCTTCTTATACATTCGTGATCTTAACTTTCTCTAAAAAATCGAAAATGTTGACGCATTAAACTGATGCTCTTCAAGGAAGTTGTAATCTTTGATTGAGCTTTTTGTGTCATGCCACTTCTCGGGATTTTATATAAGCAATGACTAATCTGGCGAGATAATATAATAATATAATATACTGCCCACGCAATTTATATAGTCATAATGCATAATCTGTTTTTGTAAACTAATGAGATTGTAATGTCATGACACATTTTTCTTCCCCCAAAAAACGCTCCTTCTTACGCACATAGCAAGTTCCTTATTTACTAATTACTTGTCAGCATTAAAAAATTGCCATTTTAAATTGGAATTTCAGGCGGGGACAGTCCGATAAGCTTCTCGTTCCCCATTTTCGTGTCTAAGTCTGTTGGTCAAAGCCTAATGTTCAATTACCACAAATTAAATTTATTAAATGGCAAGCGGGCCAGCAGACGATAAAGTTCAATTATTTATAGGAACTGCCAAAATACGAGCCAGGCCAAATCATAAAGAGAAAAAGCAGACACGGACACGAAAAGCGTTTGCCTCTACCAGTTTTCCATGTAACAAAAGGGAAGGGGTGTGTGTTGCAAAGGCGGGGGAAAAGCGAGCTGCAAATGAATTGGACCTGAAACGCGTGTAGCCGTGCGATACCCGGACGGACTTGGACGTGGCACGGACATGAAGCGCCCCAAACATGCAACAAAATTTATGCCAAGCTTTAATGAAAGCCAGACCGAAGAGGGGGCATGGGGGAAGACTTTTGGTCAGAACAGGAGATACAACACTCCCAGCGAACGGCTGACCACTGACCAATAGCAAGGCAGCTGCTTCAAAGACTGACTCCACCTCAAAATGGGGACCAGCATTGTGTGGCACCCGAAACGGGTTTCCCGTTGCAACTTGCCCCTTGTCGGCCTGCAGCGGCGTCCTGCTGATTTCCCGGCCTGATAGCCGCCGCGACAACCATGACAACCGAAAAGCCCCGCTCCTGCCCAGCTGGAGGCCAGGCCCCCGGTCTGGTTTGTGCTCCGATTGTGGCTCTGATTCCGGGGTGTGGCGTGCCGAGGTTGTGGGCTGGGGCAGAAGCCGCCAGTCTGTCCCAGCAGGGTCAAAAGTGGTAGAATTTGTAATGGTGGCCAAGAAAGAACTGCTGGCTAACAGCAGGGGCGCTCCCAAAAAAGGGTTTAACATCTTGACATCTTCAGACTTCGAAAAAGTTAAATTATTTTTCATTTTCCTTTCTTATTTTAGGTAAGAATTAATGTAAAGTTTATGCATTTACTTTAAAGATTAATAAAAAGGTGAGATCATAGATATGAGATTCCTAAGCCTTAGGACTAACATTATAAATCCCAGAAAGCTAATCTAAAAGATCTCCTTTTTTACAGAACATCGAATCCCCTTTAACCTTGTTCAACTCCACCCTTGACCTGTCCCTCTTTGTGGCGCTTGAAAAGTGGGCTGTGGCTTAAGACCGAAGTTCTCCTGCGACTCCGATTCCGACTCCTTCTCCTTGAGATGGCTGCATGGCAGTGCTTTTGGCTCCTTCTGTGCCTTCTCGTGGACTCTTATCCACGGCACTGCCATTGCAATTAATTTTGGCATTTTGACATTTACGCTTTTTGTTGGCCATGGCTGTGGCTGTTGTTGGAACTGTGACTGTGGCTCTTGTTGTGGCTGTGGTTCCTGGCCACTATCTCAAGCATACGCACATACATTTTTGTTCAGGTATGCTGGCGCTCGATAACGAGACATTTTGCCTATACAATTTCGAGCGGAATTTTCTCACGTTAAAGGGTCCACAGAAAGCGGCGCCAGTTGTGGCAAAGGGACTCGATCGAAGGAAGCCAACCTTAATTGCAACTGGTTGGGACCACTTTTGAGGCAGCATTTGAAATATTTTCCCCCTCTCCAGCATGGTTCGATAAACTAATGAAAAGCCCTGCAGGATTCTCGCAGTCGCTTAATTGAGGAGAATGCCAGTCATAGATTTCTTTACCCGGTTTCGATATGAGCGATGCTCTCAGTAAGTGGGTGCCATACATTGTAATTATTATGGCCAATATGGAGGAGACTCTACCACTTTATTTTTGTGTCGGATATGGAGGTGGCGCCTGCCAACAAAGTTGTTAAGTCTTGAGTTGGTCGTAAAGTTTATCTCTTATTAAAACATCGTCTTGGTGAATGATCTTAACATTAATGACACTATGAAAGACTATGTAAGTATTGCCATTATTGACTTATAGCTATCTTTATAGTGGAAATAAGCACTTGTTTTTGCATAGTTACCATCATTAAATGTTTGTTTTTTAGACTATAAATCCTTTTTTTTTGGAAAGAATATTTAGGTGACTAATTTTGAACTTTAGAAAAAACCAAATCAAATGAATGAATGAATCATGATTAATGAAATCATTATGAAACATCAAATTACAATGTTCTTTCTGTAAATAATGTTAAAAATATTAGTCAAAAGTTAAAATCATCTCCTTGTTGATCCCAAAACACACTCCCATAACAGCAAAACAATCGTTCAAATGCAAATCTCCCTTCGACATAAACAAAACCAAGCAGATATCAATAATTATTCCAATTGAATGCACTCGAGTGCTGGCCCAGAGAGGGGCCAAGTCTGCGGGGGATTACAATATCACAAAGTGGCCTAGCTGTTCCAGCCAAGATCATGATCAAGACTGGAAGACAGGAGGAGTGCCCCTGGTGACATTTAAAAGCTGCAAGTGCATTAGTGTGAAACAAGGTTCGAGGCGCCGTCTAAATTACAGTCAGAGGAGAGTCATCATGATCGCGATCAAGTACCATTTTCAACGCTTCCTTTGGCGCCACATTTCTGAGCTCCGGCAACCCTTTTTCCCATCTCATTTCGCCCAAGTTGCATTTCGTGATGCAAATGCGATGATGGCCAAGTGAGATGGAGTGGAGAAGCGGTCAGGCAAAGTCTGCAGCTCTGGGCGATAAGGAACGACACAGAAATATGCGGAGGAGATGGGACTGCAACTTCTATCCAGAACTCTTTTTGGGCTTCATCTTTTCGTTCTCTGCTCTTTTTTTTTTCCTCCTCGATAAGCGCCGCATCTTCAATCTTCTTCCAGGCGGCGTCTGCAGCAAGAGACAGGGAAGATAGTCTGAGAGAGAGAGGCCCATCATCATCATCATCATCATCTGTGATATGTTATACCTTATACCTTATATATGTATATATGTATTTGTGGATCTGAATGTGGATGCGGCGTATCCATTAGCTGCGTCGCCATCTCGCAACGGAGAGCAAAGATAATGTGATTTCGGGTCCGAGCCGAAAACCGAAATGGAACGAGACGCGCGTGAGTTGTGATAAGGGCTCCGAGACAAGGGAATACCTTAACCCACATCCATCCCCCATTCCCTCAGATCCACATCCATAACCATATCCATTCCCCTGTCTGTGCGGCGCTCTTTCAAGAGCAATCGCATTTTGTCTTTCGTGTGAATTCTTGGAATTTCGATATTTTTTCCTAGAACTTCAAAACGAAGCGGTTAAGTCGAGGGCTGCTGCTGCTGTTGCAGCTCTTGTGACGTCACTGGAACGTTGGGTGTGTCTTTTGTTTTGGGATTATGGTGGTGTCTCGGAAGAATGGATGTCAGAGAGTGGGGAATTGGTATTGGTAATAGCAAATTGAGAACCAATTACTGGATAACTTTACAAATTAGAGAAAGTTAAAAAGAGAAAACAATTGGAATAAACTAAGAATTAAATCCAAGACATATAACTTATTTTGTTAAGATACCTTTCTAAAACTAGAAGGATCAAATTGATTAAGTTCTGATATATAAAGTTCCCTTCAGATATCATATCAACTCGAAATTCAAATCCTATTAATCAGTTCCTTTTATTTAGAAAGCTTAAATATATGGCTAACTAATAGAAACCATTTATTGTGTAGTATAATCTGGCTGTTTTAGATCTCCTAAGCTTTGGCCAAAACAAATGATACTGGCATTCGTTCCCGATCTTAGGGTTGCCTTGGCTTCTCTCCCAATCCCCCGAATAAACCCTCTTTACGGACTTGCAGTTGCCTGGCGGCGTCCGACTATCGGCTTTTATCTATTTTAACTGCGAGTTGTTAAAGCGCATTTTCGTGTCGTTTGTCGATTTGTAATGCCAGCCATGAAGATGACGCTGACGATGATGATGGTAGCTTGCGGCCCAGGGAAGATGCATATACCCAGAGCCAGAGCCAACCCGCGACTGCGGTCGGACTTTGAAGTTGGCTAAGTGGCGCCTCGGACCCGGTTTAGGGCATATTTTTTTTCGGGCTCTCGATCCAGTTTCAGTTCGAGGCGGGTTCAAGAGGCCGCCGTGCTAGGTGGTCAACGCTGGCTAATTAAATGCACAGGGAGTGGGAGAGTTGACAGTTTCGAGTTTATGTTGGCTTTTATACCCCCACCGAATGACCCTGCCCTGGCCTGTACTCTATCTGCATCATATATGTTTGCAGTGAAAGAAAAGAAGTTTGGTTTATCATTTTCATGTCAATGTGATAAGTGAACTACGAAGAATTGGAACTGATTTTTCTTTATCATAGCTAAGTATACATCTTTCTTTACAGTATCTTCAGAGATCATTTAACATCACATTTTCTTTTTGTGTAACAAAAAGTAACAATCGTTACTTAACTGTTATTGGACATGAGCAAATGCGCGTTCGCCTTGGCCAATTGCAATTAACTTAATAGAAATTCAAATGCATGCAAGGCTCCGGAGATTAGCGGATCGTTTTCTCGAATCCCCTCCACCTCCCCAGCCAATCCCTCAGTTCTTGCGACGTTGTACGTCTGTCATAATTCCAGCGATAATGTCAGAGCGTTGCAACTTGTATAGTAAGTGTGCCAGGAGATCAGGCAAAAGGGGAGTGCGGCGTGGTGGCATCTGAAAAATGGCGCTCGCTGTCGTATCTTGTTGCCTGTCACATTGAATTATTATTTTACGGACTCGTTACCCCTCTACCCCTGCTAACCAAGCACTTGGCCAAGAAAATTGGAAATGGAACAGGTTGGTCGCTAATGTTTTAATTCGCTGCTGCAGAGGATGTGCCGCAGTGGCCACAGGTGCGGCAGCAATTAGTGCTACGCTTATTATGGATTGCAGAGTTATTAAAGCATAAATACAATTGCGATTCCGATATACTTTATGTGTCTGATGGGTCTAATTAAAATGTGTATGCAGTAGCAGCTCTTTGCCGCTCGTCTGTCCAGGAAACGCTCAGCACAAATGTAGGAAATGTGTTTTTACATGCTTTAGGAAAAATTCCGCTATTTTTGCGAGAAAATACATTTTCCATTTTTAAATTCGAATACATAAGTAAATTAATAAAGAGCTTGAAATTGTATTATTTTCCATATTTTAACCATTTTTAGCCTTTTTCTGACTGAAATATTTTTTTAACGAGAAAAATGAGAAAAAAGTTTTTAACAACATTTGGTATACTTATTATCGGGTTTTAAAGCTATAAATTGGTCAAAACAAGACGAACAGCTTTAGGAAAGACAGTTTTGAGTAGGTAACAATCCAAACTAACGATCTGTTAGGCTTTACAGATGAATTTGGGAAAATCATTTTTGGCCAATTTTTTGCATTTTTTAAGCGACACCATCATCTTTGAGAAAAATTGTGAAAATTGTCACTTTTAGGCTTGAATGCAGATCGATTAAGAATTAAAAAACATGCCTAACGAGGTATTACATTCCATATTTGGACAAGTATAGACTTAGTTATGGTCATTTTTGGGGGAAATAGGAAGAAAGCAAATTTAGCATTTTCGATAAGGGGTAACATCATCTTTTTTTGTAAAAAATGTTCAAAAATTGACATTTTAAACTGTGAATGCAGTTCGACTAGGGATGAGAAAAAAAACTCAACGTGATATGGCATTCCACATTCGGACTATTATTGGCTTAGTTATAGGCATAATACTGAGACTTCGAGGAGAAAATCTGAGAAAACTAATTTTCGCATTTTGGATAAGGGCTTAACATCATCTTTTTTTGTTAAAAATGGCCAAAAAATTACATTTTCAACTTTGAATGCAGATTTACTAAGAATTAAAAAACAAGCTCAACGAGGTATTGCATTGGATATTCGGGCCATTATTGGCCTAGTTATGGGCATAATACTGAGATTTTGAGGAGATAATCTTAGATAACCCATTTTCCATCTTTTTTTTTTTAAAATGAGCAAAATTTTACATTTTAAACTGTGAATGCAGCTCGACTAGGAATTAAAATACAAAATCAACGAGGTATTACATTCCATATTTGGACCATTTATATCATCATTTTTTAGGTAGGGTTAAAAATGTGTTTTTTTCAGGTTTAAGTGCAGATTTATAATAAATTAAAACACAAACTCAACGAGATTGAGCTTAACACCTAACGAATTTACCTATGCCTAAAGTTCAATACTCACATCTTTTTTGGCCTTTTGGCTTTTCTTTCTTTACCCCTAAAAATAGAGCTCCACGAGTCCGTACCATTTCGTTTAGATCCGTTGGAAACCATTCCATTCCACTTGCACAACTTGACGCTGCACATAATTTTTGCCAACACATTCCATAGCTGCCGGGTGCTGGGGCCGCCGTCTCATTACTCATTCGCACCCCAGCCTGAAAGGCACAACCACAGGTACAACTTTTGAGCCACCAGACTCTCCTCCAGAGCCGCAACTTCGCTGGGTCTCGGTAAACTTGGAGCGCCGGCCAGAGCGAACGCTAATAAAAGCGGTCGTAAAACAAGTTTGCCTAATTGATCGAGCGTACGCCAAAAACAAAAAAGAAGGCTCTTTCGGACAAAGGCTGTGGATGGTGGATGGTGGAGATCCCAAAGCCGAGGCGTTAACTTGGGGGAACTGGACTCCATCTTCGGGCCGTGGGGCATTTTTGCCATACCATACCATACCATACCGTACTGTCGAAACCGCCGAAAGGAGATCAAAGACAGCGGCTGCAGGCGGTGGCGTTACTCGGCGGCGGCGTTGTGCGTCGGACAGGCTTTTAAGCGATGACACCAAATCGCTATTTAGACACTGCTCCAGGGATCCTCGGATCTCGGATCTCGGATCCGTTTCGTTCCGTTCCGAGGCCTTTGCCTTTTTGCCTTTAGCAACTTGTTAAGATTTTATGGTCTCGCGCTGTGGTCTGTGGAGGTCATTAAAATTAATTTGGATCAATTTGGTTGGCTGCCAAATTGTTGACAATGAAATATAACGAGCTCCGGCGAGGTCTTTCGCGTCCTGGTAAAGCCATCAAAGTCCCCGAGTGTCTTGCGTTTACAACTTATTTATTTTGTTGAATTTAAAAAGAGATGCTTAAACATACAAAATCGTAGACTTCATTATGGGCTCTTGTGCTGTCTTTTAACTAAACTATATATATAGTACAGCGATCTGAACCTAAGTAGTTGGCACAAATCATTTCAAACTAGTTGCTGTAAGCAGTTGACTAAAAAGGAGGAAGACGTTTAAGTATCTTGGCTATTGGAAACCCATTAAGTCTTCCTCTAACTGGGACATTGGTCTTGGCTCTATATATATATATATATATATATATATTGATATATCTAAGAATAGGGCTTAAATAAATATTTTGGCAACTTTGACATTTTGGTTAGGTTAACTTTAGATTACTTTAGTTCGTAGTTAAGTAAGGATTATCTTAGTTATTCGATGATCTCTCTGGGAGTCCAGTGCGCGTGATGACGCTGGGGGTCAGTTCACTGTTGGAACTTCGACCGCTTTCGATGGTGGGTACTCTGTGGGATATAATCCACCATGATTAGAATTTCTGATAGAATCTGGAAGGATCTTTAACTTACGGTTGAACGATCTGACGGTTTATCGCCACAACGCTTGGCAGGTGAGGCGACTGGCTCTGGGGAGTCGATTGTTGGCTGTAGGGCGAGTGACTCTCGCCGGTCACGTGGTGACGAGCGGACATGTTGAGGGTACCGTCGGAGGTTGGTGGTGCCGAAGTGTTCAGCGAAATGGCCACACCCCGCTGGCCACCTGACGGACCCGTCGTCGACATATCATGCAGCTCCGGACTGGCATTCTGCTGGCTACTCATCATGGTGATTGGCACCTGGGAGGGATAGAGCGGATTGTTCGCCATCAGGGTGACTCCTTGGGACATGCCTGGCGTTGGAAATAGGAACAAGCCAAGAGTTGGGATTAGTTTTTTAACTCTACCACCAGATTTATCAGCTGAGCCTTCCTAGCTTCTGATAGGAATACTTACTTGGCAGCGGTGCCCGATGAATGGGAGCTCCTCCATTGTTCTTTGGCTTCCGCTTCCGCTTCTGGATGCCCTCCTTCTTCATCGAAAGCGGGCGATTCATGTTGTGCAGCTTGAAGTACAGCCCGCATGCGTTGCACACGGGATTGCCCTCGTTGTTGCGACGCCAAAGCGTTGTCGAGTTGGTCTGGCAGTTGGCGCAGGTTACCCCGTTGCGTCGATTGTTGGGTGCAACGGCTGCCTTGGGCTTGGCCTGGCGCTGGGGCATGCGCGGTACTCTCATATAGGGTGAGCATTGGTGGCAGAAATACTCATTACCTTTGCGGGCTAAAGGTCCGTTGCAATTATCGCACTTGATGTCGTGGTTGGGTGACGAGGTGGACGAGGCAGACACCAAACTTCCATCATACTGGCCAATGCTGCTGGCGGCTGACCAGTGGGCAGCGGGCACGTTACCCGCTGCATAATCATCAATAACCTGCGGATGAAAGTTGGTCTGTGGAGCATAAAGAAGTTCAGTTAGATAGGCAACATAGGTTTGGGATTAATCTTTACTTACAAAGGACACATTCTGGTACTCTGGCGGTGCGGGAGATGGCCACATGTCGATGGCATTGCCGCCGTCGTTGAATGCTATCGTCTGGAAAGTGGCTGGTCCAGCCTGGCGCAGTTGATTTATACCAGTTTCGGACTTGGTCAGGAACTGCCCGGTGCCCGGAACACTATAGATGGTGTTGCCCTGCTGCAACGCGGCCGGATAGCTGTTGCTGGTGAAGCTGTGGTTGGGCGGGAAGGGGGTGTAGGCGTTGCCCAGATCGGCGTAAGTCTTGGCCTCGTTGACTTGAACACTCCCATCCACCACTGGTGCATCGTAGTACAGACTCGAAGTGGATGTCTCCGGTCCTGCAGTGGTGAATCGCCCATCCTCCGTGACGAAGCGAACGGTGCCGCCATGAGAACTTGTGGCTAGGTGGACACCTTGGGCTGCCGCCGCTGCTACCACTGCGGCGGCTGCCTGATTAACCTGGTGGTGTTGGTGCTGCTGATGCTGCTGGTGCTGATGGTGCTGCTGCTGCTGATGATGCAGTGCCTCCGCTGCATTGCTTATCACAATGGTCTCGCCATAGCTACCGCCATTGGGCGTTGGACATTGCTGCTGCTGCTGGAGTTGTTGCTGCTGTTGCTGTGACTCTCCCGATGTCTCACCCTTTTCGATAGTTTCGATTTTAATGGCAGCCACATCATCGCCGGGGCAGATAAGCTGTCCGGAGGAATAGGTATATATGGTACCCGGTGGTGCTCCGGCGGCATTTCCCACCTGTTCCTGCAACTCTGCATTTCGTGGCGCCATCTGCACGTAGTGGGTAGCTCCGGGCGAGTGATGAGCACTGCGCTGGAACTCAATGTGACTATCCGGAGCAGATCCCGAGCTAGCGTTGCTGGCGTTTGTGCTGGGCTCACCCTCGCGAACTTCGTTCAGTTCACTGAAATTGTTTATGAATTTAGTATAGCAAGGCAAGAGGGAACAGTAAGCATTTTAGATATATATCTGATAGATATACTATATAGAATATCCGCAGGGTTACTAATCATACTTACAGAGTGCCCGCTGTGGTGAGAATGCGCGCGCGCTGAATGCGCGGCACCACGTACTGCTCTTCTGGTTCACTGACACCCGCCTGGCTTGTCTGCACTACCACGCCCACCGATGTTGCTGGCTGCTGTTCCTGTTGCTCCTCCAGATTGCCGGACAGCTGCTCGGCCCCGTTGCTAGCCTCAAGCTTAATCTTGTCCAGCAATTGAAGTTCCTGCTTGGTCAGAGCCGACTGCTGTTGCTGCTGTTGCAATTGTTGCTGCTGCTGCTGCTGCTGTTGTTGCTGCTGCTGCTGCGTTGTCTGCTGTTCCATCTGCAATGAGCAAGCGACAAGTGTTGAATGTTATATTTCGCTCGGCTTGCCACAAAAGTGTGGCTCCAGTTCCGGCCGACGCAGTGCGAACTGGCCGCCTCGATTTCCGCCACAAAAGTCAACAAGACGCAAGCCCCGGGCCAAGATGACTGAGTCGGACTTCAAAGGGGCCCGCCCGCTCTCGGCTCACAGCTCAATTTGTCGCCTACAACCATAAAGTACCAGAAACAGCAACAGAAACTGAAACGTCAATGGAGACGGGCTTGAAGACGACCCACTCCTCCTCTGCCTGCCTTTCTGCCGCTCAGTGTCAACATTGTCGAACACATTTTTCACTTTTATTCCATTTCATTTCCCCGCAGAAGAAGTATTTACTCACAGAACCCTAAACCCAGAGCGGTGTCTTGGTTTCGTTTTCAGTTTTTTGTTTTTTTTTTTGGTTGTGTATTTGGGTTTTTTCTTTGGTTTTTGGCGGAAATTAAAGTTGGCCATAAAATCGCTTTGCTTTCCCCGTCGTACGTCAGTCCGCTTGGGTTTATGACCTCATTCCGTTGGGGGTGGCACTTCCACTTCCACTTCCCATTCCCATTCTACGCCCCTTTCCCGTCCTCAAACTTATGTCAACACATTCGATCGTCACTGTCACCTGATTCACGATGCGGCCCCGGGCGGAATTTGACGCCAGTCCGCTCTTGACAAGTGCCATATAGCTGGGAGGCTTTCAGGTGGGTTTCACCTTTACTATAGCTATAAATATATTTTTATATAGTGTGTGCGTGTGAGTGTATGTCGGTGTGTAACCAATATGTTCAATGAACACACCACTGGGGAAATCCAAAGCAATATTCAAGGATGGCAGGCCATCAAGTTGGGTTTACCAATTGCGTTTAATTTATGAAGCAAACTTCATGAAAATATTCTTTAAAATGGAAAATCAAACACACTTTTATTGGAATAATAAAAAATATATTTTATATTTAACTAGTTGACTCAATTCGATGTACAATAAATCTAATGATACTTCTATAACACTCTGATTCTGTCATTTTATGTTTTTCTAAAGATCATAAGAAGAAATTAAATGAAATGTTATTCCCCTTGTTAGATCAATAAGTCTTACAAGAAAACTCACAAGAGAACTCACCTCTAAGAACCCTAATTACTTATTTGCTTTCCCTTAAATAATATTTGATTCATTTTACGCAGAACTTTTGGGTGACTTGCCACAAATGATTGATACATTTTATGGGTAGATACAAGCTAAGGCCAACCTGTGATTCATAAAAATAAGTTGACAAGTCATAAAAATGAAAAATTACCAAGTACAAAGTTTAACTATCTTTTTGGAAGAGCTTAAAAGAGTTCTATGGAAAATCCAAATCACTATATAGACTTCCAATGATACTATGCGAAGCTTGTCATCGTCTTTGGGCAAAGTTCAAAGGAATTCCCTGGATGGGAAGAGACCAAGATAATGTGGTGCAAACGTCACTTTGACAATCGGCTGGCCAAATGCAGATAAACCCGACTTTGAGTGTGTATATATAGCAGTACGATAGGTATGCCCCCATGCACGTGCCATGTACCGCAAAAAAGTTAAGATACTACGGCCGAACGATACGGACAATATCTTATCCGGGCGCTATCAATGTACATAATCAGCTGCTACTGCTACTGCTGCTGCTGCTGGGCCTGAGTCTGAGAGGTCATGGTTGGTATCCCCCAACCCAGTACCCAGTTCCCCCAGTTCCACCTTCAGCTACGTCATCAATAGGGACAGATAAATCCAAGAATTACAATAAGTTGGGCAAGACTCGGGCTGTTTGTCAGTCGCCTCGAGAAGTATGGCATGTGCTATTTGCTTGGCTTAGTCAAGACCCATTGCGAGGGTGTGGAGTCAGTCCACTCGACTTATGAATGAAATCTCCCCAGTCACACCCACAGTCACATACAAATGCTCCGACTTTATCTATATAAACAAAAGATATTGGCTATATATAATCGCACCTCGTTTCACTTTCGTTGAGCTTGGGTTTGTGGTTAAGTCAATTTCCAAAGGCAACCCAACGGTTAGTAACTTTCAATGTTGCGTTTATGTAATTTGAATGCTAAAGAATTTATATATATTTATTTGATTTAGTAACAGTTTGAAGATCTTTATAACCATTATTTTTTTTTCAATTTATGTTTGTGAAAAGAAGTTCAGCTTTTAGGTGATGTAAGGCAAGGCGTTTTACGCACAAAAACCATTCAGTATTAAAGATGAATTCTGCATTGTAGCAACTTATTTGTTAAAAAATTTTATTTATATTCAAAATATCTTACATTTATATTACATAAACAGAATAAAAAGATCTGCCAATAGTTAAAATAAAACATAGTTATCTTATTATATAAACTCAACCCATTCCCAAAACCCCAAAAGAGCCTCTTTACTCTTTCTTTCTATCAGTCATTAGAAGATTCTCCGATTAATTAAAAGTCCATTGCAGTTGGCTAATGAAAGTGAGATAAGCTGCCAGCTGCATTTACAGCTCTATTAAAGGGCCATCAATCGCAACCTTCGCCCCCCGTCCTATCTCGGCCATCAACTGTCAACTGGCGACGCGTGTCTAATAAAAGTATCTCCAAAAGCAACTGCAACTGCAACAACTATCGATGCCGCCATTGAGAGCAACTGTTAACGAACTGAGTTTCCATTGGCTGGCTGGCCAACTTCCGGCACGGGCAAAGTAACCCCCAGATGGGCCAAGGGTTGGCAATCGGCCGGTTCATTCATGAAACCACCCCAAAAACCCAAAAAAGGATAGGCTCGAGACAGGGATAAGAACCAGGTCTAGAGCCAGGACCAAAGCGAGGTGATAAGATTGACATAAATTTCACATTATCCGTGCCGAAAACTGTCCTTTTTTTTCATGAATGAAGTAGAAGCAGAAGTTGAAGTCGGCGGCTAGCGTGTTTCAAATTTTATTTTTGTCAAAGGTATTTTGACGCCACCTCCGATCGCAGCTGAATTTGGGCCTCATAAAGATTAGCCATCTTTCCACATTTAACTTGGTTTCTTATTTTGTTGCCTCATTCTCGTTTCCTTAATGGTTTCGGTTTTTCTTTTTCTTTAAGAGCAGATACAAAAATAAGTGTCGCAGTTTTGCCGCTGCATCCCACAGATGACTCATTATAAATCTATTTGGCTTATCGCGTGACGCGGCGCTGGGTAATCTGGCTAAGAAAAATCACTGTCGCTTACGGAAAATCCTTTTTTGATTTTAAATTAAATTAAATTACTTCCCTCAACTGTTTTGTAGCTCTTTAAATTCCATTAATTAATAAATTAATATTTATTTGCGTTTTTCTACTGATCTATAAACTTGATCCGTCTGCTTTTTATGGCCCTATATGGCCTGTCTATTTAGCTTAATGAACTTGTGTGAGAAAACGTTAAAAACTTTTATGATCTTGTCTCTTCAACAAAGTTGAAATGATAGATAGGCTTATAGAGATCTCGTAAATTGAGCCTTAAAAAGGTATTTAAATGTGTTTAAAAGAGTTCCCGTTTAGTTGCTTGATTTTTAAACGATTTTTTGATGTTTTTACATTAGCTTGAGGCAGCAAAAGCAAACTAAAAATATTTAACCACTTAAAATAGAAATCACTTAACCATTTTTTAACACACTTTTTGATTTTGAATTTTTAGATTTTTTCTGTTACCCACCTTCAGCTGCATTTTCAAACTCGTTGAGATAGTTTTGCAGACCATCAAACAGAATTCTTCTTTTTGGGTTTCTTCCGGCGTTTTATCTAAGTTTGGTTTTTATCACTTGATTTCCAAGTTCTGTTGTGTTTCGTATCTTTTTTTTTTGTTTTTAAGAAGCTATCACATGCACGATGTGTCCAGGTGTTGGGACCACTTCTTGAATGAATCTCGGCAGCGGGTAAACTGGCGCGAAAAATGCGAAATAGGAACTTTTGTGGGTGATCTAACTCTGTCATTCGAGGAGCAAATCGAGGTTGTGGCCCGCGCGCAACCTTTAGCGGTAAGCAGTGATACGAAAAAGTGCTACTATTTTCTTTTTTTGATTCGAGACCAACTCGACTCTGACGATGGTACTGGGCTCTGGTCTGTGGTCTGTGGTCTCTGGGCTCGGAACACTGAACACTGAACGCCTAACAGTGCGATGACAACAACGACGACGACGCAATGCGGTGTCTGGCGCGAGTTTGCCGCCCAATTAGTTTACCCACACTGATGCACAAACAGCACCTCTGCGGTTGGGCGGACCCACACCTGTGTGGGTGTACGATCCTGTCCGTGTGCGCCATCGTTATGATTTATTCTATGGTATTGGTTATCTTATCGCCTCATATGCGATAAGGTGTGATCATAGTGTTGGTGTCTTGGATGCGATAAGTATCCGTGAGATACAAATTGCGCCTGCGTGCTCGGCGACGTTGTTCCGATTTTTCTCTACCCTCTTTACTCTATATTACTCTCTATACTCTCTTTTCGTACTCGAATATTACGAGGTCCCGAAGAGTGGCGTCAAGAGACCCACCGCAGGCCGGCATAGTTCTGCCAGCCCCACACGTTTGATACCATTTCGTACCCCGATCTTCAGCTCACCACCCCGCCAGCTATTTGTCAATTGTGCAATTTAGTCTAGCGCATTTTCTAATTGCACTCATAAAACACTTTTCTGGCAAACTAATAAACACGACCAACGTTAGTCAACGTCAACAGAATATCATCGGATCCGGCGGGCTTGGGTCCGGGTCTGGAAAGTGGGTCCGGGCATGGGCACGGGTACGGGCCTTTTGCCTGGAGACTTTATATGACCCCACCGAACACTACATTCGCTTGAATGTGGGTTGCTTTGACAACTCGACTGCTTCGTTCCACTTCACAATCGACTCTCGAGTGTTGAAACTAATGAATGTCGGAGGCGAAGGCGAAGGCGGAGGGCAGGGACACACGTGGTCGAGGATCAGGTGCTGCGAATGTATATTGCAAAACCCCTGAAATGTCACCAGCCAGGAAAAGATTGAGTTTGAAGTGGCTGCCTGATTGGAGTGCTCGATGGGTGATCTGATACATTTTTCAACCTGTCTGTTACAGAAATGTACTTTGTAAGCAAGAGGCTCGGTGAATAAGTCAATAATGTTTAACTTTGTAGTTTCAAAAACCATTCTGGGGAAAATCGAAGGATTTTCTATAATTCAGACTAATATCAGCCGCAAATCTAAAGAAATACACCACAAAGTAAACGTATATTTGATTTTCTTACAAAGTTTACCCTTTATTTTCATTTTCTCATACCAATCTAACATTTCTGTACATTAATCTTTAATAATTTTCAAAGAAATCCAAGATAAATTGGGTATTTCAGCGAAATTCCTTCATCTACTTGCATACCCACAGCTTTCACTCCTTGGAAGAGGGGCAATCTGTAAGCTAGCCACATATCTTGGACACCCAACCAAGTTGGCCCAGCAAATCATAAATTGTTTATAGTTAAAGTCATAAAACAAGCAGATATATGACGGCCATTAACATGCACAATCCCCTCTTGGAGTTGTGGCTTATAATACGCCACAATTACGAGGCAACTTTCCGCTCCTCGAATGAATGGAAATGAAAATCGCTTGGTGGTGGCCGCGATAATTTTAATTGTTGCAACTCATGTGGTGCATAAATCATGGAGCAAATCTTAAGAGCAAAACCGGCAGACAAAAAGTATCTAATAGTAGCTGCTGCTGCGTGTCGCGAAATATCTTTGCAGTGATTAATCACTCAAAAAACTGACAGCAATGCCAGTTTCGATCTCTGAGCGTTGCCTAACAAATGGCGCTACATGAATTCAACATTACAGGCGATTAATGCGAGACCTGAGAGGACTTTGGTCTTCAGTTCGGGTTCCATAGGAAACTCGATCCTCTGGAGGGGAGAGGACTGAAACTGAGTCATCTATAGGTGGTTTCTTTTTGTAGTTGGCCTGGCAGAGCCGGGCAATTAATACCCTAATTGATGGCACCGCCGCACCTAGCTTTAGGCGCTTTACCAGCGAATTTACGACCCTAAGACGCAAGACTTAGGGGCGGCAAAACAGACAGAGTCTTAAGATTGCTGACCATGGCGTATCGTGCATTGGAATCGGTACACCCTTCAACTTGTCCACATCCGTGCAGTTTCAAGTGGCGGAGCAATGCCAATGTGGAGCACAAGGCAAACCAAAACCAAGAACCCGAAGCCAAAAAGTTATCTACTTTCAAGTGTTCTCGGGCCCGTTGACAGTATCACCGATCTTTGCCCGGAATGACGCTATGGAATTTAATTTATATATATATATATATTGTATACCATTCTCTTCTTGTTTTGTTGGAAAAATAATAATAATAATATTTTTTTTATATTTTTTGTTTGGCGGCGCAAAAGGGTTGCTCTGATAAGGAAAATATAAGAACACTTTGGAAATTAAACGTCCCAGGGCCAACAAAGGCGTGCGCCATAGTTTTAATTATAGCCAGCAGCAGGGGTGCGATCCGATCTGAGTCCAAGACCCGCTAGCCCCTCTTCTATGGATGATCCAACCCCGACGTCGAAACGTTGCCCAATCCCTGCCAGTCCGCAATGGCGTGGCTCAATCGAATAAAAATGAAATGGAGATGGAAATGGAAATGGAAAATGGAAATGGAAGTGCTGTTATGGCTGCATTCTGCGCTTTTCGACCAAACCAGCAAATTGGGTTCAAGTAAATTCTATTAACCCGCCGGCGGGGTCATAAATCATCCGGCGAAGGCACGCTACCGACATTTCGGACATGAGTTATGAAAATGGAACTGCGCACTCCGCATTGCCGGGTGATGGGCCAAGTGGCGTTCCAAATCGATGAGGAACTGGCGGAGGAGCAGGAGGTTGGATATGGCAAAAGGAGCTGGCTAAAACAGTTAAGCTTTCTTTGTTTACGCTCCGTGGAGTTGACACTTGGTTAACGAATGTTCGTTCTTATATTTATGGATTGGATACTCGGACAGTGATGTATCTTTCGGATGAGTCAGGGGAAAGTTGCGATATCAGAGAAGAAAGGATGGATATAACGAAGAAGCTCCACATATCACATTAATGGTATGAGATATGAGAGTATGAAGATAATTAAATGATCTTCAAATAATATATTTCCGTTTTCAGTAATAGTCCAAAAATCTTAAATCTCCAAATGGCTGTTCAATCTATCAAATCTTTTACTTTTAAAAAGCTGGAACTGTTAAAATTGACTTATTCCTGTTTTAAAGATGATTCCACATCAGCTTTATGATGTTATAAATAAGAAGTAATGTAAGTTTTGAAATATATATAGTATATATCCCATACAGGTTCCCCAAGTGCATAACCACTTGCGATTGGCAGTGGCAGCGTCTTCAGTGCGAAGTTCTCGCGTTTGTTGAGTATACGCACCTTTGTTTGCCAATGGGGCCTGGCTATGACTCATCATCATTATAACTGGCAATCCATAATAATCCATGAGAGGTGCTGCTGCTGCTGGGCATTGTTTTGGCATGGCCAATGTGGTGGGACGTGGGACGTGGGGCAACCACAAAACAGCAACAGCAACAGCAACGACATCGACGCCATTAACGTTAACAATCATGGCTACTGGGGTTGATTGGGATCGCCACTTGGAGTGGGTACCTCGGGTCTGAGTACGGTTATGGTTACGGGTACGGGTATGGGTATGGATTTGGGTTTGGTTTTTTTTCTTTTGGTTTTTGGGTAGGTAGCTGGTTAACTGACGACTCCAGCGACCCCAAAACGCATACAAACATTATTTATTACTTATGAGCGCTGACATTTTGTTGTTTTGGCTTAACTGGAACCTCGAACGAACGTTGTTTTTGTCAACTTGCGATTTAGCCATGAGAAATTTATGGCTAGACTTTCGTTGCCACCGATTTGGATCGAAAATAACGTAAGGCCGAGATACACGATGTTACTTTTCCGCGGCTGCTCGAGGAAATGCTCCTAGGGAATTGGAAACTCCGGTGGGTGTTGCACACCCTCCGATTGCTCCTATCAACCAAAGCGATTTTTCCTATCGTCGGCGCCTCTAATACGGCCATGTATACCCACCTATGTGCTGTACATAGCGGGACATATCGAATATCTGAGAATAGATAGTGGCCTTAGATAAGTTAACGTATCTTAACAGAGATTTCGACTACCCCCCAACACGGCATTCCGAGATATCCCTAAACATTGTGGCAGGCCCCCCAACGGATCGAAATCGTAAGTCAATCGGTGGCGGCTACTTAACCTACTCATACTCCGACTCCTCGTCTTGGACAAACATCCGAATGGGTCTGGGGAAATTTGCTTAACCGATAATGAGAACTCTATCTGTGACGTCGCCAATTCCTTTAGGGGATTGGGGGATGGGGACATGGTTGACCCAGCTAGATAAAAGTATCTAATCTTGGCTTTTTAGCGATACACGACCACCAATGCCGCCGTATTTATAAGATAATGAAGATTTGCTATCAATTGGGAAGTTGTTGTTAGTGTTGTTTGGCGTTCCTGATATTGCCGTTGGTAGGATATCGGTATCAGTTTGGGGTATCTGCAGCCAGTTAAGGTACCCACTTCCAGTTTAGGTCGGGGTTCTGGGTATGGGTATGGTTCTGGTGTTCTGGTGTTCTGTTTCTGGTTCTGCGCCTGGGCATGGCTCTCTCTCGCGGTCTGTATCAGTATATCAGTGTTTGAACTGATAATGTCCCAAGATAATAAGCGATAATAATTTGAATTTTTCAGTAATTCCTTAAGTTTGGACGACCAGCGGCATGGAATCTAATCACAGTTGGTGAGTGTAACTGGGATTTTCAACATGGAAACATTGCGCGTCCGTCGGGTCTGTCGTCCGCTTTTCATTTAAGGATACCAATCTGTGAAAATGTGATGTGTTACTCAAACTAAGACAAAACTGAAATGAATCTCATTAATGGATTACCAGTTATCCCCATAAAGTGTATTTAACTAAGGCAGCCGTTTATGTAAGTGCTGCCAATGAAAAATTGTTCTTTTTGCTGTGCGTTTCGGGAATTGAAAATTTGATCTTTGGCTCATCGATAAGATACTGGCTAGGCCCTGTGTATAAATTCCAACTGCCAAAGCAGCGCTCAAGTAACACTTGAGAAAGCGAAAGTCAACTTTGGAAGTTAATTAACGATCCGCTGATTAGATTAGAATATGCTTATTAACTAACACTCCGGGTCGGTATCAACCCAACCAAAAAAGTACCTCAAAATAATTTCCAAGAAATCGCCAAAAACGCCATGAAGTGCAGTTTTTTTCGGACCAAAACCAATTCCTATCGATCTTATCCATTTCGCTGATCGTCTACCAAGGAAGTTTGTGTTTTTTTTCACTGAAAGTTTAAATCATAAATTCGTGACATTCTTTTTTCATTTTTGAATTGTTGTTTCTGATGAGGTGGTGGTGCTGCTTCTTGCTCGTTTTCATTATCTTAAGTACACATTCTGAGGTACAAACGTCAGTTGGGCGATAAGGCCAGCAAGAGCAACGTAACCACCCGAGGAAGACATCAAAAAAGCAGTCAAGTCAACAACAAACAGAAAAGAACAGAGGGGCAATGGCGGGGGGAATGGACTGTTCTAAATGCAATCTGTTTGCGCAACTCACAACCTGAACTGAACCCGTATAAGGGTATACCTACCTAGCCAGAAATCGGGGAATTTTCAGCATTTTCACGCTAAATAAATCAGGCAAATGTCAAACATTTAATTAGGTGCACCGCAGCCAAGGAAAGTGAATAAGGAAACAAGCAATTCTTATACAGAATATAATATATAGTAGTATGGTATATAGCATATAGCATAGAGTATATAGAGTTACAGAACTCAGGTGAGCTGCCTTGGAACTTGGGTTTCTGCATATGGTAAATACCATTATCAAATCATATTATCTTATTTATAAGCATTATCGTGCCACAGATACAGATTGCCTATCTATGGAATGGGCATGTAAAAAAATCATATATACTCAGATATCTTACCGAGTGTGGTTATTTCGTTGCTGGCACAGTAAGTTTTGCACTTTCCATTAAAACGCGCTCCGTTCTCAGTCAAATCGTGTAGCAATTATAAAATAAAATTATAATCATAATAATAATGCATTATGGCATTGAATGGAGAGCAGCCAGATCGTAAAGTGACTAACCAGAAAAGTGTGTGAGCAAAAAAAAAACAAGAAACGCTTCTAATAAAAAAATAGAGCCATAAAGTGTCGAGCGTCAGGCCTAACATGAACTCATCGTAAATTACGGACAACAAGTGTGTGTACTAAAAACGTAAAAAACTGAGGATACATCTATATATATATATATACTTGTATATATCATCAAACAAAAGGACTGAGAATAAAGCCCATTGTGAATTTGTGACAGCTTTAATGGTCGTATATACAGTTTGTGACCTAAGTGCCTTACGTAAAGGAAGTCACGGGCTAAGCCCTAGTGAAATTTCGGAAGCTGATTAAGTATATCCCGCTTCCGATTTTTTAATATTCTATATCTCCTTGGTGTAACTCGGTACCAGTCTTCAGAAATTCTGTGATATGACATTAGTCAACATGCGTAGCAATTTCTGAAGATATATTTTAAGAACTTTATCATATTTCTTGGAATTTCGAAACTTTGGTTGCCGGCGAAGTCTCAAAAAATCTTTTCAGAGCTTTTGATAAATGCTTATGTAAGAATTATATTATAAAATATTAAACGATTTTTCAGAAAAAGAGGTTTATACGCATCTGATTTGCGCATAATATCCATTTATGGTCATTATATATATCTAGCCTAGTTTATGAACAAATAACCAAGTTATTTACTAGCAGCAAACATCAAGTCTGAGCTCTTATAAAATGAGAGTCAACAAATTCAGTCTAATGATCACCAAACAATGATTCAAAGTTGCCAGGGCTTAGCAAATTAAGGTTAATTGAATATTATTTGCGAGTTTGGTTACTTAGAGGCCACAATTTCATATCAGATTTATAAATTTATTGGGTAATTCATATAAGAAACGAATAGTTTTAAAGTGAAAAAAGAAAGATTTCAATGGTAGTTGAAAATTGGGTTAAAAACCATGTGAAAACATTTGAAATTTGTACAGAAAGATTCAAAATATAAACATTGAAAGACTTTATCTTATCGTTCATGATTTGATATCGTGCAAGACAAGGCTATGTGGCTGGCATTATCATTCCATTATTTGCCCAAAGCTCTGATAGTGGAAACCTGACCCGGCGCCAAAAAAAACTAGCAATCTCTAGAGTGAAAGTTTGCGAATAGACCTGAGCAACGACCGATTAGGCTGGAAAATGCAGATAGTATCCGTAATTATCAAAAGAAAGGTTTCAGTGCCCAAAATATTTATCAAGGGGAATATTTTCATTTGAATGGACTTCGTTTCGTGGCTAATCGAGAGCGGTATCAATCAAATTTACTGAACGGAGCCTCCTGCTCAGAGCCACTTGAACGGTGCACGAGCCGTTTTCAGCCAAAGGCCCTCGCGACATGCGGCACTTTTGTACAGTCACGTAGCCAGGCGGGGCTGCCAACCACCAACCAACACCCACAGCTAACCCAACAGCCCACCTCAGACCCTCCCTGGTGGATCCCCACCCTCGACAAAAGAGCAAACAACCCTGGCAATAAACAAAAACTGTTTTGCCACAGAAAATGACTTTCAGATTTTGTTGCTGTTGTCGTTTTGTAACGCGTGACTCCCATAAAAAATCAACAGCAACCAACGTTCGGAAAGTTTATTAAAAAAGAAATAGAGCGAAAAAAAAGAAGAATATAAATAGAGCGAGAGGGTTAAGGAGAGGGAGGACCCAGGGAGTGACAGGGACAGAGACAGAGCGGAGGGGACTCAGCAATGCGACGTTATCTTATCACTGAAAATGTCGCTTTCGTAAATGGCGGCGCACAAAATAATATAATACACACATACACATCCCCCCAAACCTCCCACCTCACCTCCTACAGATACACACAGGCACTCTGCTACATTGTTTTGTTCCTGTCAGTAATTGTACAATTCTAGAGTGGCCCAGAGTAGGTGGCACCTGAGTTCGATTTTTCATTTGGTTAAACACTTTTAAAGATTTCTTTATTTTTGTAAATATTTTTAATATAGCAATAAAATATGGTGTTCTTGAATCTACAGAGGTGTTTTATTTTATATGGAACTTGAATTAACAGTTAATATATGTGGGCACTTTTTCTTTTAGTTAAATAAAAAATATATAACATGTACCTATATTATGTTTAGGAGTACCTATGATGTCATGATATCAGGATGATTATTGCTTCCATTAAGAACACTTACTACACCTTTCAATTTAAACAACCTCTCAAGTTATTGGCTAATTTTATTTTTATAGTATATAATAAGTTCATCACTCTTTCTTTATTTATTCATATATATATATTTAAATTTTAATACTTTTTACATAATTTATCGAATTTTTTAACAATTACTTTTTTCTAGCCATCTAGCCTCATTTCTAGAGCTAGAAGCTCTTTTTTTCTCTTTATCTTTATATATATATATATATATATTGAATATTTATAAATATTTTTTTTAAATTATATATAATAATATTTAATTATATATTTATTGGAGAGATATTTAATATTAAAGATAAGCACCCTCAAATTTAATAAATAACAACAAACTCAACAAATTAAAACCCTTATATAATAACGTTTTTTAAATGTCTAATATTAAAGAAATAAAATCACGTCAAAACATACATCAGTGATGACAAATTGGCTATGAAAAATGAGTTTAAAAAAAAATTGTATTGACAAGTTTTAAGCTTACAAGAAAACAAACATTTTCTGTAATAATTATTTCTTGAAAAAAATGAATACACTTTATACTAACTAGTCTAATTGGTTAAATTGGTTTTTCTACATAATAGTTCGCATGTAGATAAATACGGCAACTTATACGCTCTGTGAAAACAGAGGAACCTATTTTTACTTGACGTGTAATGTTCAAATCTACAGCATTTTCATGTGAGCCAATATGGAAGGCAACAATTTAAGTGCATACTTTTAGGCATTTCAGATCAATATGCCATTTAAGCACTTACCAACACTGAAAAGCAAAATCAAACTAAATAAGATTCCTCATACGCCCCGTAGCTGAACTTAGCTATTTTTGTTTAATATTTTAATTAATTAACTCTCTTTTTATGTGCAAACTTTTAAGCATTTTAGATCAATATGAAATTGACGCAACTAACAACACTGAAAAGCAGACACGACTTAAATCGCATCATGCATACGCCCTGTTGTTTAAGCTAAAAACTCACTTTTGAAACATTTCAGGGACAATTGTCTTTTATTCACTCAAAAGAAATAAAATTAATATTGCAAAGATGATGTAAAAAGTTGTACGAAACTAAAACTTAAATTGCTTTAAATATTTATCGATAATTTTATAAAAAATAATATATAAATTACTAACTAAATTGCATGAGATTATTGGTTACATCGATTTGAATTGTTTTTTGTTGCTTTTTATCATTGTTTGCTGGCTTACCTAAAAGTATTAAGCTAATAACTAATTGGAATTTGATTATTGGAAATCTCAAAAGGTAATTCGATTTGATAACAAATTTAAATGAATAATCTTATAGCCTAGGATCTGAATTGATTTTATGCTTTTGGCATTTTGCTAATAATTAAACTAATTGCGAATAACAAAATTTCGAGTAGTGGCCCATTTAGATTCGCCAAAATAATGGAAATGTCAATCGACTTAAAACTTATTTACAACTAATGATTCGATTCGTTAGAGTTTAGATAGTCGAGGGTTCTTTGAGAACGGCTCTTGGTATACAGGCTATAAATTCTTTGGAGCTATGAGATTTATGTAACAACAGAATCTTTGGTCATGGCAACAGGAGCAGCCGACTGCTCAGCGTGTCCCGTCTACTCCATCTTCACCACCGTTTCCCGATCCACTCCGAACTTGTGCATGGCATAGTTGGCCACATGCTGCTGCTCATGCTGGCCCAACAAGGCAGCTGTCTGCTGCTGCTGCTGAAGTTGTTGTTGCTGCTGCTGGTGTCTTTGGAAGGCGGCCAGCTCGTAGTGCTCGTCCAGCGAGGCCGATCGGCTGAGCATTATCTCTCCATGTTGATGATGTGGATGCCCCTGCTGCTGTTGCTGTGGCGGTTGATCGATTTGCTCCATCTTAATGAGTGCAGGCTGCTCGTCCTCTTCCGGCGTTAAGTAATATGGCGGTGAAGCTCTTGTAGACTGGCCAAGACCCAGCTGATGATAGGGATTCTGCAGACTAATAATGTTGCTGTGGGTCAGAGACGATAATGTGCTCGATGCCGTGGTCGGTGTTGAGGTGATCATAAGTCCCGCCGACGCTGTGGAGCAATTGGCCTGGGAGGTGAGCGACAAGGCCTCCGTCTTGATCACCGCCGCTGCTGCCGCCGCAGCTGCTGCTGCCACCGCCGTAATCGGGCTCGGTAGCAGGTGGGCCAGCAACTGGTGGTCGCTGGTGGAGCCGCTGCTGCTGCTGTTGCTCAGTTGCTGAGCTTGCAGATATTTCTGTATAATTTTTGTGTTATTCTCATTGCTAATATTGTTGTTGTTGTTGTTGTTGTTGTTGAATAGTGAGCTGTTATTGTTGTTATTGTGGAGCTGGTGAGTAGGCGATGGAGTGTTATAGATGGATGTGGGCGTGCTGGGTGAGTGCTGCATGCTGCAAGATTGCTGCTGCTGCTGATGTTGTTGCTGCTGCTGCTGCTGCTGCATATTGAGGGGCGACAGTTGGTAGTTGGAGCTGGGCGACATGTCCAGTCCAGAGCAGAGCTGCTGCTGCTGCTGCTGCTGCTGTTGTTGGTGGTGCTGCTGATGTGGATGTGTCTGATGCTGATGTGATGTGGCTGATGGCGACAATGAGGAGGAACCCATGCTATGGGGCGAGCTTGCCGCCGATGAGTGTTGATCAGCCATTAGCAACTGCTGCTGGTACTGGTATGAGTTGTATGGTTTCATATCAAGTTGTGGTTTCAAATCTAACCAGGTGAGGCGGGGGAACAAAGAGAAAGCAAACATCACGAATTAGGCATGCACACGGGATGGCAAGGTAACCGAAACTCACCTTCATTCACATCCATTTGGCTGCTGTCCATGCCCAGGCTAACATTGTGGCAACTGGTGCCCATCGATCCGCTTTCGAGGGTGGCATTCAAAGCGTTCTTCAACTTCTTGGACTTTTCGCTCTTTGTTCCCTTTGGCTTGCGCTTGCGTTTCTGCAATAGTTAATACTAATTAATATTTCTAATCAAATCAAATTAAGAAATACAAACTTACCTGTATGGTGTCCTTTTTCATGGTCAGCGGTCGTGGCACGCTGTGAAGCTTATAGTACAGACCGCAGGCATTGCAGACGGGATCTCCCTGAGGGTTGCGGCGCCACAGTGATGTATGGTTAGTGAGGCAGTTGGAGCAGGATAGTCCGACTCGCTTCGAGGCGCTCTACAGGTGGCGTGATAAATACAATGGATTAGTCAGTGAGAATGGGATGCACTCGGTTAGCAATAGCTTTTCGTGTGGAACAAACGTTTTCTATGGCAACTCTGTGGCCAAGGATTTACGGGTTTTCTGGGTTAGTTAAGATGAAGGTTAGCATTGATTCTGGGGCTAGGTTAGTGGCTCTACTCGGTCTACTTGATCTTCGCTGTTAGTCAATTGACGTTTTTAAGGGGTTTCGGTTGGTCAGGTTGGGTTTTGGTTTTTGGTTTTGGTTTCGGTAACGGTAATTAATGGGCGACCTACCAAGCGTCTCGAATTGGCGCGACTAACTTGCTCGTCGAGCGTCGTCGCTGCAGTCGCTGCCGTTCCCGACGCCACCGCCGAAGTCGCCGAGGTTGCATTTGAGCCTGGACAGGAGCCGTAGGCTTGCGAGCTGGCGGCACCAGTCGTGTTGGCCTTACTACGGCCACCGCCGCCCACATTAAATGAGTTGGTTTTATAGAAATCCCCGCCTGATTCAGCGGCCACTGGAATTGAGCAATCAGAATGTTGTTTGTTGTAATACACAAGAATTGGTTTTTTGGATGTCATTTTTTCCATTCTTTTGATTTGTTTTTTTGGTTTTTGTTTTCGCATATTAAACTAATTGGCATTTCATAATAAATAATAAATTCAATTAATTTTTTCACTCTCTTGGAGCCTTTGAAGGGAGCGGGGAGAGACGGGGCGGTGGTGCTGAGGCTGGCGGATGCGGATTTCTATAACTTTTCTTAAACTTCTTTTTTCTTTTTTTTGTTTCGTTTACCCACTAAACAACAACACAGAGTTCGCTGACACAGAAATTTTGTTCCACACAAAAGCGTTTTTGATTGGTTAGTAATAATTGCTGGTAGTTGTGATTTTGTTGTGATTTTTGTTTTAGACATTTACCAATCTTCTAGGCTGTTTAATTAGGGGTCGATTCATGCCGTTCATTTTCATGTACAAGCCGCAGGCATTGCACAAATAGTGTCCCGTGTTATCGCGTCGCCATAATGGGGTTGAAATCGCACCACAATTGACACATTCTCGCCCCTCAGAGAAATAATCGGCATCGAATAATGCTTCAAAGATTGACATAGAAATATCGGAATAAGTCATAAGGTTTTTGCTAAGTGTTTTTTTTTCGTATTTGGTTTTGGTTTTCAATTGTTTTTGCACTTTTTTTTTTTTGGTTTGTTGGTTTTGGTTTTTGTGTGTGTGTTTTTTAAATTTAAGATTGTATTTCTATGGGTTTTGGCTTTTGTGGTGTTTTTCTTGTTGGTTTGATTTTATCTCAAGAGTTGAAATAAAATTAATTGAATTTATTATAGAGACTTATGGCTTAAAAATAAGTATATAAATATGGTATAAGTAATGTAGAGCAACAGCTGCTTGCAGTTGGCCAGCATTTCCTGACCCAGTTTGCTCAGGTTATGCAAATAAGCCCAGCCAGCGATGGGTTCCCTTCTCGCCTGCTGTGTGTGTGAAGTTCTACCTAAAACCCTCTCCGTTTTGTGGCAAACAAAAACGGAAAGGATCGCGGTTTGTGTTTGCTTCTTGATTTTTGGTTTTTCGTTTTTGGTGAGTAAACTCAGAAAGTTTGCTTATGTCCTAGTCTAGACTAATTCATGGTGGAAACTTACATGCTGTCAACGATGCCGATGCGGATAGGTAGGCAGGATCTACGCGACCTGTGGTTCCATCTACTGCCGCAGCGGCTGCTGCATTTGCCGCCGAAATGGCCCTTCCATTCCGTATCACATTGGTGACCACCCCAGCTCCAACTCCGACGCCCAACTGAGGCTGTCCAGATGCAGTGGGAAGGTAACTCATTTGATCGAACCAGGTTTCGTTCTATAAGAAAGTTAGGTTAGTTAGTTGGGAGCAAGGGGGAATCCTTGACTAAGGGCAACACTCACCTGACCGCGGTAATTCGTCATCGGAGCGTAACGTTCGGCGCCACTGACCGAGCCATTGGCCACGCCGCTGGCATAGCTGCCGGCGATCCTCTGGAAGGCTGGCAAAGTGCCGCCGCCCCCACCGCCACTGTGGCTACTCCTCGGCGATCCATAGCCGTCCTCCAAGGAGCTATTATGTCCATTGACCGCTGCCGTGGCTGCCACCACCGCCGCCGCTGTGGCCGACGAGGAACTTGAATGGTGCAGACCCACTGGCCCCGGACTGCTGCTGCTAGAGTTGTGGTGATGCTGATGATGGTGTTGCTGCTGTTGCTGCAGTTGTTGTTGCTGGTGTTGCTGATGCTGCTGCTGCTGCTGCTGTTGCTGGTGGTGCTGCTGCTGGAGGTGGGCATGCGTCTGGTTGGGCGACTGCATGCCGTACTGAATCCCATTGGCAGTCTGGGTGAGCAACGATCCAGCATAAACAGAGCTGTAATATAAGTGAGGATATGGATTTAGTTTTTGGTTTTAAAAACTATTCTCAAGTTTTATAACTTATTTTGTATAATTTGTAAATCTAAATAACTACTTTTAAATTTAATTACCTATAGCAATAGTTCTTTAAATACATATTATTGTAATTCGAAAAGAACATTTTAAAAATCTTTATTAATTTCTCGGAAGGAAAAAAAAACTTTTTACGCGTTTAAAAACGCTAGACGCACAATCGCGCGCGTTTCTGAAGCGTTTTTAACCGCTGCTTCTGTTAGGATCGCTGTTAAAGCCGCACTGTCACTGTTAGGAAAACGAGACGCTATTAACATTTCCTGGCTATTGTTTACTTTACAAGACTGAGTTGTTTTCGCTGAGGACGGACCACCAGCGTCCAGTTTTTGGCATGTTTGCAGTTGAGCCTGTGCGGGTGTGGCCATAAAACTTTTAATTAAAGAATAAAACTGTTTGCTGATTTTTTTACCAGAAAAAAAAGGGTTTACCAACAGTAGCCTGGGCAAATATTTTTGCCAAGACCCGAAAAAAACCTTTCAATAAACAAAATTTGGGAAGAATCAAAGTGCCGCGAAGGCAGAAGTTTGTTTTGGGACAGCGATCTTGGCACTGGATTTGAGATCAAATCTTGAGATTTTGGAGCTTTCGTTATCACAAGTGCACACTTTAAACATCCGCCAACTAGCTTAGCAGCTACACACTCAACAGGAAAGTCCCCTTTTTCGGACAAGGAAATGATCTAAATCATTTAATAAATCTCCAATGTCTAGTACAACCATTTTAGTACAATTATTAATATTTATTTAAACAGCAACACAGGAAACACACAGAAGTGCTGGGATCAGCTTAGCCTAAGCGTTTTCATTTTCGTTTTGATTTATTTCTATTTCAGTTTTCAGTTTTATTTCGGGCTTAGTTCTCCGGAGGAAACTGGTGAACTGATGACGGCAGTCAGAGACGGAGATGGAGACCGAGACTGAGACTGAGACCGAGAAGAAAGCACAACCGAATCGGGGCACGCGCGTTTGCATAATGACTTGAGTCGGGTTTAGTTTTATGCCAATGCAGTTGCAGTTGCCGTTGTTGCCGCCGCCGCTGCTGCTGCTGCTGTTGATGCACTTGCTCTTGTTGCAGTTATTGTTGGCCCACAGAAATCTCACACACACAAAGCGATTAAGTGTCAGAATAAACTTAACCCAAAAAAAAGTACGATATCTTCTTATATGCATTCAATTATCTAACAAACGGCTTGCAAATAAGTTGCTCTTTGTTGCCAGAATTTATATGGCCAAGTCTTCCAGCTAGATGCTCACGCTCTCGTGATAACAGCGCCAGTCGTATATTCAGTTCGAGATGCCCTATAGCTATGACTATAGTATATATGGCTGAATTATATAGGAAGTCTGAGTGACAACAAAAAATGCACGACAACGATATAATTTTATCACCGCCGCAGTTCATTTCTGTTCTGTTGTTTGTTGCAGCTGAGTATTTTGCGTTGACTTCTTGTTTTTCACATAGCTATAGGTGTGTGTGAGTATGGCTAAAATGGCATGTGATCTGGCCAGCAGCGTGATATCTTCTTCTGGTTTCTTGCTGCCACAAAAGCGAAACTGACCAAAAAGTCACATACGAAATGCAGAGCACCATCATCCGCCGCCACCAGATGATCTCAACATCGACTCTCAACGCTGTTCTGTTACCAGATATTTCTACATATTTCCGTCTATGCGAAACCATCAAAAGATGATGGGAAAGATGAGGAAAATTATTGGGTAAAATGGAAATCAAGTAATGATATGAGGTAAATATCATTTATAACTTTTGTTTACCTTTCAAAACTCAAAGCTTTTGGCTGTTTCTCACTTGACTTCATACATTTCAACTTAATGTGCATTCATGCCTGTTTTCGGATGCATATGCAAAACACGTTTCCAATTTAAATAACAACATAGGAACAACAAATAAAATAGTAAAACAATCAAGTGCTCAGCAAAAAAAAGTAGAAAAGTGAATTACCAAATAAAAAATAGAGTTAAGTAAACTGATATGTACAATGTGCGGGTGCGTTGGGTTGACTGCCTCCAACCGATGGTTGGAGAACCGCTCTCCTTAACCCTTCAAAGGTGTAAGTTTAACTCGGGGCTTGCTGAGTCAGCTGCGGCTACCCTGAGCTCGGAAAAAATAGAAGTCTTGGCAAGCATTTGAGGCTGTTTCTCTGTGTCGGAGTTTCGGTTTCGTTCGAGGGTTTCTATGTCACGGGATGGCTTTGGGTTACCCCAGCTCCCAAACAGTCACACACTCGAAAGGTATCCTCACCACCAAGCAATAGAGCTTGCAACCGAATACCCAAAACAAGCTAGAAAAATGCGCTACAATTGCAATTTGCATTTTCATTTCTTTTTTTATTTTGGGCTCCTAAAAAAGTCGCCGAGTTTCGACTGCTCGATAAAATGCGGGTCACGCCCCCTTTTTTTTGGCTTGGCAGTTAAGAGTTGCCTTCGTTTGTGGCACGTGCTGGTCCCAAGCCAAATGTGGCAACAACCTGGACACGTGCAGTATTGGCCATCTAATGCTGGTCGAAAGGAAAAACTTAGTCAACCATTTCGAATTCTCCTGCATCTGTTGGGAAAGTTGGTGGTTCTGGTTGGGCTAAGATCCCTAACGGGAAAACTCATGACTCATGAAAAGCCATGCGTCAATAATTAAGACATTGCATATTCTTGTTTACGAAATTCGACCGGCAAATTGTATATTTCTTTTTGCTGAGTTTCGAGCTTTCAGATGATTTCTTGGGGGAAGGCAGGCACAGGCGACTCTGCAAATGCCAAGTGCAAAACTCTTTTTTATTTATTTTCTCGCATTGTTTACTTGGACCTCGGACAAGGTTAGTGTTATTAATAGAAGCCGAACACGTTGAGAAGCGTATCGGAAAGATGACAAGATACAAGTTGTGAAAAGATAAGGAAACGAAGCAGCAATATTTATAATAATAAACTTTGAAGAGAATAGGGTTCGAAAACTTATAAGACTTACGTTATACCTATTAGAACTCTTTAAAAATATAGAGATATGAATTTCAAACATCTTCTGCCAAAATAACTTTTTGATATTTTGTTAAAATAAAAGTTAACCATCAGTCCTGCCCTTCTAAAGCACATCCAAGTGAAGGCGTCATGCCCGGAATGCTCTTCCCATGAGACATCTGCGATGGGCCAACAACTGTGTTTTGTTTATGTTTTTTGTTGTCCCGCTGGAAACACATTCTTCGAGCTGAACTAACTAACTAGCTAGATGAAAGTGGAACAGATTTTTGCATTCCACATATTGAGTAAACCACCTGAGAATGCCATAATGCCATAACCATAACCGACTGTATTTCGGTTTTCGGTTTTTGGGAGAGAGGCGGAGTAAACGGAGACCAATGCCTGAGCTTTGGAACAATGAGGCATAATTGTGGGGGCTTCTGTTGGTCCGGTTCGTCACTCCGCCCGAGAAATCGCGCCAAGGCGGGAAGAAATATGAATCAGCCGGCGCGATTCTCTGTTAGGTGATCGCTGATCGTTGATCGGTGCTCCGATCATGACTTTTAACGGTGTCGCCAAGCGAGCGAAAGGCACGTGCGATCGACCGCTTCGTGATAGTGAGCTCATTACTCCGCGGCAAGACTCACCTGTTCTGCAAACTGGCGTTGAGCTGGGGGGCACCGAAATAGGTGTCGTTCTCCGGCGAGAGGCTTTCACGTTGGGTGGCGCTGGTTAGCTGGGTGAAGCTTTGCAGGGTGGATAGAGCATGTGAGGACGACGGTGAATCCCCGCCAGCTGAACTGGTTGAGTTGTTGTGGTGATGGTGATGCTGTTGCTGTTGCTGGTGGTAAAGTTGTTGTTGTTGCTGTTGCAGCAGTTGCTGCTGCTGTTGGTGAAGTTGTTCGTGGGTGATGGCATATTGACTGGAGTCCTTTAAAGGTTGCAGATCAGAAACTGAGGTCAGCACATGGTAGTTGTTACTGTGACCGTCCTCGAAGCACTCGTCCTTTAGCGTGTCCTGGATAACCTCGTCAATGTTCGACGTTGTTCCTTGGGCCGCTGCTGCAGCTGCTGCCGCCGCAGCTATTTGTTCGTGACATGCAGCGCCTCCGGGGTAAAGGCTGTACATCGTAAAGGTGTTCCGCATTATGGAATCCGTGCTGGCGTATGGCTCGTAGAGCTGGGCGGGTGGATGACTGGCCGGATATTGAAAGTGTCCAAAAAACTGATGCGAGGCTGCTGCTGCCGCCGCTGCTGCTGCCGCTGATCCGCTGGTTAGGTCATAGGCCAGCCAACTGGCTTGATGTTGCTGCTGGGCTTGATGTTGGTGATGTTGTTCCTGCTGATGTTGGTTAATCAATTGCTGGCTGAGAAACTGTTGCTGTTGTTCGTAGATTTGGTTGTTGTGGTGTTGCAGTTGCTGTTGTTGTTGTTGTTGTTGTTGTTGTTGTTGTTGTTGCTGCTGATGCTGCTGCTCAAGTTGCTGATCCTCAGACTGATGCGCATAGTTGATCACTTTGATTTTATTATCAACACTTTCACTCGCGTCGTTCTGCGGCTGATTATTATTATTATTATTTATCGCACTTGGATCGTCATCGATCGCTGCTGCAGATGTTGCCGCCGTGTCGTTTGGTGTTACTGTTGGTATTGCTAATGCTGAAGCTGTTGATGTTGCTGTCGCCGACGCGTTTTCTGTACTAACCGCTTGCCTTGCTGTTTCGCTGACAACTGAAGTGTGAGCCTGCGAGCGCGCGGACTCAAGTGTCGATAAATTCGCTGCGGCGGGCGTTGCTGCCTCAGTCGGCGTCGCTGCTTCGCCGTTCTCCGTTTCGATCGCTATTGCCGTCTCTTTCGTTGCTGCATTTGATCCTGTTGCTGTTGCTGCAGCATTTGCAGTTGCTGCGGCTGTTGCTGTTGCCGCCACTGTTGCTGTTCGTCCTGACTGCCTCTTGTTGTTGTTGGACTTGGCCGTACGGATCTTACTATCCGCCGCATTCGTTAGCAAACTACCGCCACCCGCCTTGGCCCCCGATCCCGATCCCAATGCCGATGCCGCCACCGCACCCCCGGCCGCCTTTTCCTTAGGCTTAGTTGTTTTCGTCATGATTCCCCGGCACTCCACACGATTTTCCGGATTCTCCGCCGCAATCCACGTACGTGTCCGTATCCGGCGCGATTTTCACACAAACTGATTTGATTTGAACGGCCTGAGCTTCGAAATCCGAAATACGGAACAGCAGAGCAACAAAAACAAAAAAGCTCATTAAAATTGTTTTTTTTTAGAAAACCAAATCCCAGCGAGCATCCTCTCTCCTCTCGTCATCTCCGTCCATTGATTACAGTTGTGTTTGCTCCACATGCCGTTACACGAGCACCACTCGAAATCATAATCACAAGTGGCTACACAGAAATAAAACATTTTAAATTGGATTTTAAAAGGGTTTAATAATACTATCATTTTCACATCAATTTTATATTATATATTGCCATTTTAATAATAATTAAAATATAGGCCATTAAAAATAATTACGTTTTACAAAGAATTTCTCTGTTTTTGAGCATTTATAAAAATCCATCTGTTTTTTATAATTATTAATTTATTTTTTGAAAATAAATTGTTTTCAGTGTTCGTCTTTAATATTTCGAAATGTTCGATCCCGAGCTCCAAGCTCTCCCACTCTTTCTCTCCATCTCTCTTTTAGGGAGCCCTCTCTTTGGCTCCTCTCTTCCTTCGCTGCTTCGTTGGCTTTGCATTTGTATTGTGCCTCGCCTGGTTCTGCTGTTGATGCCTGCCTTATCGCACTTATTGCCTTCGCCTGGTGTTGCTCGCTCGCTGCCTCTCACTCTCGCCAATGCCCCTAAATGCTGCTTGCCTGCTTTTAGCTACGCCTCTCACTACACCAACAGCAACAACAATAGGCATTGAAAGTGGGAGGAGGGGTTGATGGGGCAGGCCGAGGTAGAGGCCATGCCGGATTGGTGTTGTTGTTGCCGCGACCTCAACTGTTGCTCGATTGGTGTTGTTGTGGTCGCTGTTGTTGTGGTTGGCTGACTTGCGATCGCCAACAAAGTACACACTAAATCTGGAAAATATATATGTATAAAAAAATAAAATAATATTAAGTAAAGTTTAAAATACTACTAAGCCAATTTCAAAAGAATTCAGAGAATTCTCCTACTCTCAACACTCAAAATAAATTCTAAGGATTGAAAATAAACATGAACTAAAATAAAGTAATTAAAATAAACCCTGGTTATTTTGAATATTTTGAAACAGAATTTGAGTATTACAATTTGTTCAAGAGATAACCATACCAAAACTAATTAGTTTATAAAAAAAAGTATAAGGTCACATTTAAATAAATAAAAAAGCTATTAGGAGGTGACTTTTAATACAAGATTAAATAATACAACAAAATATAATTGTGTCAAACTGAAAGCAAATGATAACAAACATTTATGTTGAATAAACTATTGAAACTGATTTCTTATTTGATTGATATATTTTTTATTAAATAATTAAACAAAAGCCAGTTTTGAAATTAATCTACTATCAGGTCATGATAATTAAATTTGAAATATTATTACACTTGATAAAGTGAACTAAATCGAAATACCACTTTTCCCTATTAATTTCGTCGTGGCTAATAATCTCAATACTCTTCATGGTTATTTCTCCTAATGAAACGTAAAATTTACACATAAATCAGATCTTCTTATGAGTGAACTAATATACAAATTTTTCTAAAATTTGAAAATAACATGCGTATAGGAACGGGGAGCCTCAAAACCCAGACACACTTTCATGCCTATCGCGAGGACGCGAGCATTAAAATCCAGCCGAGACGCGTGTAGAATTTCAGAATCGGGGCAAAGGACACAACCCGCGGCGAGTCAAGTGAATGCTGGAGCCAAGTCGTGAGAAAAATCGAAGAGAAAGACTTTCCCCTGGACTCCGTCTCGACTTTGGATCTTTGGCTGCGTTGCCTTTTGCAAATTACCGAGACGTCGCGCCAAAATATATATTCAAAAACCGATCGTAAAATCATGTACTTGAGCTGAGCTCTAATGGCTGATTAAAAAATTGTTACATTTGAACCAGGACGAGTCGTAAAACTATTTTCGAGTGGGATCTTGGGAGGCTCGGTCGGTGTTTTTATGGCATTTTTATCGTCATTTGAATAGGCGGCACCAACGATCTGTTTGGACATTTTGAGAACATTTTAACGATCGTTGATCAATTGAAAAAGTAGGCGACACTCAAGTGTTTCGGCTCCAAAATCCAATTTAAAATGGTTTGTATGTTTGTACGAGTACGACACGAGTACTCATGCATAGACATTAATAAATCGCATAACCTTTGTGGGCACTAAAACCAAATAAGTATATGTTATTAAATATACGAAAAATCAAAGCTGATAAGGTGCTCTTGGGATCGGTTTTGAAGCGGACTGAAATGGGGGAATTAAGCCGGACCTTTCCCTAGACACATGGGGACTGAGGTTGACGCCTCTCCGAACATCGCTCGCCTCGTTTTATATTATTTTTTCATTTATAAATTTGTTGGCCTGCGGTTGCTCCAACACTCTTGATCGAAAACGAACATATTTCCATTTTTTCTAACAAAGCAAAAACAAGTATTTCGAAATGTTCAATTCGAGCTCATTTGCTGCCTGTGCCTGGGATCCATAATGGAACTTTAACCTTGAAATTATTAATTGCCAAGTTTGAAAAACCGGCACAGACGTCACAAGGGTGATCGACTGAATATAACACGCGATTCCCGCATGTCCAGAACCTAAATCAAAATCAAAAACAAAGTATTCCAAATTCATTAATTTAAAAAACTTAACTTTTAAGCATATCTATAAATGTTGTAGGAATATTCCAAGATGCGTCTTCTAAAATTTCACTACAGTACGGAGTAACATAAGAAGTGTCTTTCTTTTGCCTGTAAAAATTCTTTAAATTATCCTTAAATAACGTATCTCTGAATATGAAATTCCTTACATATAGATTCTTATGAGTTTCTTATGTACTTTTGAACAAAGTTAGTTTAGTACTTCCACTCATGAAACTTTCTCACACTTGACACTTGAATTCACCTACTTGTACCCCCACTCGAGTTCACCCTCTATCCCTGTGACCCCAAGCTACCAATGTTATGCCTAGTTAGCTCCGATAAGTCGGGACTCTATAAACGAAATGCATTGAGTACAAATGCAAATAACGGTAAGCGGCCTCAAAAACCCCGACTTTAATACTGGAATACGCATTATAATATGAGTCAGGGCTGAGTGCTCCGCCTGGCTGAAAGTTCTGAAGATCGGCCAGTCTGGGTGTTTACGGCGTAGTTTCAGGGGTGCAGAGGAGTGTCAACACACATAAAGATTTTGCTGCAGAAGAAGATTTCTCCCAAACCTATAAATCATCCAACGATCCATGGCGTTGCTATGCTAATGATGTGATTTATTACAAGTCCTCGAGGAAAAAGGATAATCTTGTGGGTCTGCTGCGGGCAAGGAGGTGCCCTGTTTCACACTCGATCTCCGATGCTCAATGGGCCGTGGCTTAGTTCTTCGGTTTTGTGAGGGTAAAACATATCGAATGTTCATTGTTTATGGCGAAAAGTCGTTTAATAAGTTTTATATACTCGTAGTACTCAGAACATTAGTAAAACCACTGAGGGCCAATTCAAATAGAACTCTCTTATTTGTATATCCCACGAGACCACAGCGAAACGAACGCGTACCCACAAAATATATAGGGATTTGTGGAACAAAGTTTGGCTTAAAACTATTTTGACATGTTTATGGTACCCGAAAATGGGTTGCCTCGGGGCAGGTTCCCCGCTCCACTCCCCTCAAACAAGTGTCGACTGTGGCGAGTGTCTTCTCACATATCAGGACGATCATCATCCATGGTTTTCTTTTTTCTCGGTGCCGATGTATTTATGCATTTTTAATATTTTCGTGTACATCACGGCCATAAATATTGCACTGGTAATACAATACGCCACGGATCCATTTCACGGAGAGCTCTTAGTTGAGTGCGTACTATCCCTATCTTTGGATACAAGTCGTTTGACTCCTTAAGCGCCAATTATCAGCATCGTTATGTGGTAGGCATTCGAATAAAATTTCTACAATAAACCGAAGACAAACCCTTCGTTGCGGCATCCAATTCAAGTGGCATGCGGCCCGGTCTCTCTTATCAAAACCCATTAAATGGCCATTGAGAACATGTCTTTAACACTCTTTTAATGCAACAATAACCAACTCAATTGTTTCTGCTTATCTGGCAGATGCTGGGCATCGATATGAAACTGGGAAAACTCAAACTTTTGCCTTTGACATTGACAAAATGTTAAATTAAAGTACTAAAATATTTATTCGGATTATGAGTAATAGAACTTAAAATAGAGAACCCATTTCTCATCAAGCACTCCAATGCTTTAAAAGAAAACCTCGTGTTGCTCATATGCCATAAATTAGTAAAGTAATTTTCCAATTTTATGCAAATAGAATGTACATGGCTTAATTATCCAATTTGTAAAGTCAACACACTGGCACATGTGACGTTGTATTGAGTAAGCAATCACTTAGGCCATCATTAGGTAATATGGCCAGAAGGATATGGATGCAGAAACATATTTCCTGCACGTTTGCGGCGGCTGTGAAAAGTTTTTCCCACAGGCGGACAAACAAAAAACAGCAATTGAACCTATTTAAATAGACTTTTGTATTGGAAACTGTCAAGAAGCCACGATTAAGCCGCACTGATCAGTGCTAATCGGCCGGCCAAGCCACAGACGGCTGCCATTTGCCCGCTCAGGTAGGATTCCCATCTCCGGTGAACCAGGTAAGATAGTTGGCCAAGGTAAACAAGACAAAATGGCAAACACGCGCCGACACGATACAAATTGATCGTGACAAAGGGATGGGGAAGACGGGACTGTGGACACTCAAGGGATGTGGTTGCCGTTGTTATTGTTATTGCCGCATCTCGTGCTCACTTGGGTTTTTGTCCTTTCGGACGTCCTTTCGCTCTCTTCGGCCCAAGCAAATAAACAACATTATGAATTTGTTTTCGCTGACAACGTCAGGGAAAATATTGTCCCTTCCTTTTGTTGGGTTATACTCGTATAATTTTTGGAAAATATGTTTTTACTTTTCGTCGTTAGGCACGTTAGGTA